GCGTATCCGCTGTTGGGGAATAATAAGGAACCCCCAAAGTAGTATTGGCAATTATTTGGGCCCCTACAGTAGCCCGATACGAACAAGAGAACGAAGGAGCTCCGCCACTTCCTCTTGGCACTCTCATGCCCCCAACTCCGAAGCCATGTCGGGTGTCTTTCGGGTTTAGGGTTTATAGGGCTTTGGGTTTATAGGGTTTTAGGGTTTAGGGTTTAGGGTTTATAGGTTTAGGGTTTTGGCTTCGGGGTATCTTAACGATTGAAGCAGGTTTGCACAGAGGCGCCCGCCCACTGTACGGGACACCATACGAGCCCCGAAAGACAGGAATCGAGATACCAAAAACAACAAAGTTTGCCACTGAACAGCATGACCGAACTACCTAATGATCCTATACTCCCCAAAAGTACTGAGCCCAAGTTATGCTTGGGTCCTTTGGACCCTGAGGGTAGGGAGGTCCTGTAGCAGTGGCCTCGGGTCAACGGCTAAGGCTTTAAGGGGGCTTAGGGCTCCGGCGTCGGAGGGGGTTAAGGGTTAGGGTTAGTTCGGGCCTAAACCCTAAACCGTTTAGGTTCTATTTTTTCGGGTTTAGGGCTTTAGGGTTGAGGGCTTTTGGGTCAAGGCCCGAGACCCTAAACCTTAGAGGGTGTCGGTCTTACAGTTTAGTTCCTGTTGTGGTTTCACCAATTGTATATTTAGGATCTGTTAAACGTTATAAGTTAAGGTAACCCAAAAATTCCAAAGGAGACTGTAGGTAGAGTCGCAAAGCCGAGCACCATTTAGGTTCCTACAAGTAACCCACAGGAAAGACAACGGAGACTATAGAACCCTAAACCCTCCCTAAACCCCAAACCCTAAACCCTGAACCCTGAACCCTGAACCCTAAACCCTAAACCCTGAACCCTAAACCCTAACCCCAAAACCCTGCAGAGCACCAAAAAGCCGAGAACAAAAGCGCAACAAAAACTGGAAAGCCCCCGGCCGGCAACGGCGACCACATCGGTCAGGTGCTCCTGGAAAGGCTTAGGCTCCTTTCAAAGGGTTTAGGGTCTAGGGTCTAGGGTCTAGGGTTTAGGGTACAAATTTAGGGTTTAGGGTTTAGAATTAGGGTTTAGGGTTTAGGGTATAAACTAAGGCTTGGGTTCCTTGTAAACTAAGGCTTGGGTTCCTTTTAAAGGGTTTAGGGTTTAGGGTCTAAACTAAGGCTTGGGTTCCTTGTAAAGGCTTCAGGCTTTGGGGTCTAAACTAAGGCTTGGGTTCCTTTTAAAGGGTTTACGGGTTTAGGGTTTGGGGTTTAGGGTTTAGGGTATAAATTTAGGGTTTAGGGTTTAAAATTAGGGTTTTCGGTGTAGGGTTCAGTCAGAGGGGGTTCATGTAATCTTAATAGTAGGGATGTTCCACGGGTTTGCGGCATAAACCAAGGTTGGTGCTTTTCATTGAAGGGTGAGGGCTTGCATAAAGCGTCCTTTACGAGTTCTGTGGGGGGTGCAGGATTCGGGTTCAAGGTTTAGGGTTGGGGGCGAGGTTTAGACAAGGGCTTGGGGTCCAAGTTGTGGGCTTGGGGTTTGAGCTGCTGGGTCTTGGGTTGAAGGTTTAGAACGTTGGAATTTGAGTTTTGAGTTTTGGCCTGAGTCGTGTCTCTGAATCGTTTGGTTCTTGTAAGGGTGTTGCATTGAAGGTTGATGGGCTTCAGGGTTCAGGGTGCAAGGCTTCTTACATTCAGCGTGCACGTATTTGGATAGGGATATCGCTGAATCCATGCACGGTCTAACCTCAAATTATTTCAGAAGTCCTCCCCTTTATTCAACTAGCCCTAAATTCCCATGGTTCCAGTCTACAATCCAGACAGTCAGAGTAAACAGAATAGGGTTTGAAGATTTCTACAACGACGATTGAAGATTTTCTACAATGACGGAATAGTATGAGAATCACTTCGATCCCTCTTCAGAACCCTTGAGGAACCCTGCAAGAACCGCTTTAACCACCCCGTAAGGAATCCTCTGGGGGCCGCTCTACCCCCTAAGGGAACCCTCTTTCGCAACCTTTAAAGGAACCACTTACAAAACCTTAAACGAACCCTTTAAGGAAGCCTAAACCCGAAAACCTAAGCTACCCTTTAAGGAGCCCTCTTAGGTGGCCAATGATCCTGAACGGAGCTGCTGTCGCCGCCCCAGTCAGGACGGCCCCACGAGACCTTGGCGGCTTCGTCGTTAAGGCCGCCAGGGCTTTCAGGGCTTTAGATTAGGGTTTGGGGTGTAGGGGTTTTGAAGCCTTGAAGGTTTTTTGGGGGGGTGGGGCTTCGGGCTATAGGGTTCTTCCGCATGTAAGGATTTCCGAGTGTCTTCAGGGGGCCAAATGATTCTTCGCATTTGTCGAGCTCATCGGCCAAACAACTTTCTAGTGTAGGCTGTGAGCTCGGATATGAACGCCAAACCCTACGCATCCCTACGCCTACGACATCCCACAACCGTAAAGCCCCCACACCCTTATGCAACAACCCTCAATCACTCCTGTTAGAACCCAAACAGCGCCATACAATGCCATACAATCCTTGAGCAAGGATGCATGGCCGGACATCCACAAGCCCCTGAACCCTAAACCATGCCTGACATTCCGACACTGGGTCCGGTTTACGAAATCCTTGTTTGGGCCCACGCTTGACGTATCAGGAAACCCTAAAGCCACAAACAGTGATTCAGACCCCTCGGCAGCAGACACCCTCTCCTCAAATTCCTTAACGGCCCTAATGCTAGAGAATCCCGGCTATAACCCTTTCTACTAAAGGAGGGAGCGGAGCTTAATTATTCATCAGGCGTCTACATTTAAAAGGCTCCTCAAAGACTGGCTAAGGAATTTACCAGCCAGAATAGTTACTTACCGATACTTGCCGATACTTTCCGTAGGGCTCTTACTTATATACTATACAGATACTCGAATCCACCACCAGCCCCACTTTCAATCATTAAGTCCCCGATATCATATAATCCGCAACACCTTGATGAAACCAGGAAGCCCTTAGAGACTTCCTTTGCAGGAACCCTATCCTGACGGTTACAGCACCTACAGCAGTATCATTCCTCTGTGATGTTTTCCTTTGGATCCAAGCAGCCACCCGGCCATCCGCCGTAACTGCTGCGAAAGCCTGTGTAGGTTCCAACATGGCTTCTGTGCTATGTTGGGTCTTGAAAAACCCAAAATAGGGGACATGTGATGAAAACTCAAAAATAATCAGGAACCCAAAGGACCAATGTTTGCAATTATCCCGGCTTCTGTTTAGGCTTTTGGGGTTGACTGGGTTCCACAACGGGGGGGTTGCGTAGGTTTTCGTGGAATGAGAGCTTGGGGCATCTTTAACGTGCATGGCTTAGGCTTTGGTGCTTAGGTGTAGGGTTTAGTCAGCGTGTTTCAGCTTGAACTTCCAGCCTTTCTGCTGGGAGCTTCAGAACAAGACGGAGCCTGGGGCACCCATTGCACGGACAGCACCGGTAGGACCCGAGACGCCGAGGACCCCAAGTCAGACCCGAAATCGAAGTTCCACATTGAAAGTGACCCTGAACCCTACCTACTTCAAGTCTCAAACCCCGTGAACCTCAGGCCCTATACCTAAGCCGAACAGGGGGATATCCAGGATGCCAAGGTTTTAAAAGATGACCAGTCAGTCAATCTAAACCCTAAAGCCCTAGGACGAAAGTTCGTCGTACTCTCGCAGCCGAAGTTCTTGGAGCCCTGGGCAGGTAGCTGACAGGCAGGCTTCATGTTGGCTCTCTCCTGCTGCTCCGTGGCCTGCATCATCAAGAGAGGCACGAAGAAAACCGGCTGCACCACAGCCCCCTCTTCGCCCGTCTTCGGCCCTGCAGAGGTAGAAACGACTCCGAAGACGCACTGGTTGAACTTCTCTGCGGCCTGCACAGGCCAGAGGGCGGCCGGCAGCTCTTCTGAAGCATACTTCGCCACAGCCTAGCTTGTCAGAGGCACCAAGATCAGCTTCTGCTCTGGGATGCCTTTGCTGACCGCGATCTGCCTTGCAGGCTGCAGACTGAAGCTCAGCTTGTCCCAGCAGCATCGGTCCTGCTGCTTGCAGAGCTTCGTCAGGCCCTCGTAGAGGCTGCCCAAAACCAGGTTCATTAGCAGTGCCGACTGCTCATGTCGGTCTTGAACACTTTGCAAACCCCTTTCCCCTTTAGATTGCTCCACCAGAGTCCTCTGTCCGGTCCATTATCCTGTACTATAGTATATGTACATTTATTCCGGTGGATTCATTCCTCCGCTGACCAGGCCAAGCACATTGCGCTTTTAGGTATGTACTCCGCGCCAAACCGTATGATCCCATAGGCAAGCGCGACGAAACTTTCACCCTGGCGATGTGGAAACCTTTGGAAGCCGTTTGAATACCTCTGTAAGTGACCCCAAAACACCTTATGTAGGGCTTAGGGTTTTGGGTTTGGGGTTTAAGAGTTTAAGATGTGAATGACCGGCCCCTACACACTGTCAAACAGACGACCTGGTGTGAGTTCAGAGGCTTACAGCAACGCTTTGCAGCGATCAACCAGCCTCGCTAGCGGCGCTGATTCGCCTCACCTTGCTTCGCTGGGGGCTTAATGCTTTGGGGTTCTGCGGGTGTTCGGCATCTTTGTAGCTTCACGGCTTCAGGCTTCAGGGGTCCGGGGTTTAGGGTCTATAGATTCAGATGTGGCGAGAACTTAGACTAAGATACTACAACGAGGAAAACCTATTACTTGCTATGGATCTCCATTAAGAATGATAGTAGAGGGATTCGGGCACAAGGGTAAAGGCGTAGGGTTTACGGTGCCGGTAGCTCCGAACCCTGAGAAACAGTAGGTTATGACCCCATCGTTTTGGTGTATAACTCTTTGCTGAACTAGCAGGTTTATGGTTACACACAATTCATCCAAACACCTCAAATCCTAAAACCATATAGATCCCTTTCAAGAATCCTTAAAGGAACCCCTCAACACGAAAGGCCCAAACCCTAAAACCCTACGGATCCCTTTTAGGAATCCTTCAAAAAAAAGCCTCAAACCCTCAACCCAAAAGGAGACCCAGCTTTGATGCCAAAGGGCCATCTTCAAGTCGGTAGCAACGGCGGAGCTGTCGCCCCCCGAGTCAGAGTTGCCTTCACTCCCTACATCGGGGGACTTTAGGGTTTAGGGCGATTCGGAGTTTAAGCCCGGAGCCCTAGACTCTAAACCCTAAGCCCGCTCCCTAGTCCATAAACCCTAAACCCGAAAACCCTACTCCCTAAACCCTAGACCTCAATCCCTAAACCCTAATCCCTGCAAAGGGCTCTTAATGCCTTTAAGGAAGTAGAGCAGGGCCTTCACGGGTTCGGGTTTAGGGTTTCGGACTTTGGCTTACTTACAGGGTTAGGGTTTAGGCTCAGCGTTTTGGAGCTCTTGGTGTGGTGCTTTTGGGGTGCAGTGTTTAGTGTTTAGTTGTTCAGGGTCTTTGGGCTTATGATGTAATGCTTCTAGGGTGTGGGGTTGCGCAGCGGCTTTACAATCGGGTTTTATGGGTCTGTGGGTGTGTGTGTGTGTGTGTAGATTCCTAATGCTGTTCAATGTGGTTTCGTGGCGTTTCACGTACAGGGGTTCGTAATTACGATAGGGTTTTCGGATATCTTGGACCATATTCTCTACAGTTTACGGCGGTAAGGTTCATTCCTCAAACCCTATACCCTAAAACCCTGAACCCTAGAACCCTCCTAAACCCTTAACCCTAAAACCATAAACCCGAAAACTCTAAAACCCTAAACCCGAAAACTCTAAAAACCTAAACCCGAAAACCCTTAAATCCTAATATTCGGGCTCCTTATGTTAGTCCTGCTCTATACACACACACATACATATATATATATATATATATTGGGGTTATGGGGCCAGGGTTTCGTAATCAGTTTTCTGCATTACCTGACAGCGAACACCAGAAAGCTGGAACATGAACTTAGGATGATTTGTGCTGGGAGTCCCCATGTTCTACCTTGTGGGCATTGGGATAACGATGGTCCAACTTGTTGGCTTCCCCTATAAAGGTTACACCGCAATTTCGGATTTCTTGATAGGCCAATTCACTTCTCTGGAGCTAGAGGTCAGACTTGCATGTAGGATTTATACACGAGGAAATGCAACTTTGGCTTGTGCAAGTATCTCCTTGATCCCACAACCCTCAACCCCGAATTCCATCTCCTACACCCGAAATCCTTGCACCAGTATCAAACCAGATCTCCGGGCCAAGACCGCATCAGAATCCTAACACAACAAAGACCTTTCAGGTGTAGAGAGCTCTGTTTGATGACACCCCGCCCCGCCCAACGCTCAGGACTTGGAAAGTTATGGGGCTTCGGATTTGACATACATAAATCCCACCCCCACCCTTGCAGGAGATCGTAGGGATCCTGGCATAAAGAGGGCGCTGACATCCTCACCTACGCCCTCAAGATCCCAAACAAACCGATCACATGTCTGTTCAGCCAACATGCTTCATTCGCCAGTTTGCTACAGCCATAACTAACATAAAGCGTGATATTTGATTAGTTTTTTTATGGTATAACTGAGTGACTAACCCCCTTGTTACAACCGATTTGAATGTCCTGTATCATAACCTTAGAACCACCATTAAACACACAAAGTAAACCCACTTAAGAACCAATTAATATTTTGCTGTACCACACACGAAGTCGAAACTGCTAGCGACACCTTGTATGCATCCTGTATGAGAAACACCACGTGACATCACAAACCGATGCCCCCATGACATCTAAAAAACGCCCTAAACTCTATATAAACCCTACATTGTGCTGAAATCACTACGTGTTGAATTGGGCTCAGGCACCCCAAGTCACCACGCCACCGTCCGACCGAACGGCTGCAAAGGCCTGGGGACTGGTCCGCGAGATGTCAGCCAAAACTTCAAAATTTTTGGGGCTTGGATTTGGGCTTTCAGGGTTTACAGACCCTTGCATCCTAAACCTTACACCTTCAACCCTGACTACATGCTAGAGGGTAGGACCCGTCGGGTTTTGTTTAGGTAGATGGGGACCCGGACAGAACCCTCTAGGGCCCAGGGGTTAAGGGGTTAGGCTGGTATTTGTCTTAATAATGATTAAATGCATCTCTTGGAATGCATGCCTATCTATACCAAAACTCTCAAAACCCCAAAACCTAAACCCTAAGCTGAAGCCTATAGGCGAGCCAGGCCGCGTCGCGCGTTGCCGCGATGTGCTCGACGTGATGCAGCTGCTCCTTCCGAACAGACTCCGGATAATGGGCTATTCATTCATGTCTTAGGGTTTGTGGCTTGGGTAGAGAGTTAATCCTGTCTGTAGTGTTCAACTCTCTTTCATGGGTTTCAAGGCGAAACCGGGTTTCGATGTGGGAGTTTCTTATCTTTAAGGTTCCTGTTGAGGTCCTTATGTGAGGGATTCGACCATTTAGGGTCTATGCATGGGTCCCCTACTTTTTGGCACGCTCATATGCGAGGAATTAGAACCATACAGGCTTAAGGTTTCCATAAACCCTAAACTCTAGAGCCCTCATACCGGTTGCTGCTGCAGGGCCCAGAGCATGACATGGTACGTCATGCTGTGCAGTGCGCCTGTGCAGGCCTGCAGCACGCAGGGTCTTAGAAGAAGTACCAATAGTGCTGCTGAGGGTTTCTTGGTATAAGTTTACTATACAATAGCCCTTAAACCCTCTTGGTATAAGTACACTACACTATACTATATGCCTAAACCCCTAGACCAATTACTAACGCCCCTATACCATAGAACTTGTATAAAACCCGTTAAGGAGCCTCTCGCAGTAAGACCCCCTGATGGCAACAATCTATACTACCCTTCACTTAGCGGCTGAGTTCCCAAGCCCAAGAAAGTGCATGCAAACATTCAGTTCTACAAGGGGTCATACTATCCCCAAAAGTGTAAATAAAGTGTACCCATTCAGCTACTAAGTACATAAAGCTCATTCGAATATTTAAGGCGGGCTTCATGCACCCTGCAAGGTGAAAAGCGTAGAGAATCTCACCGACATGTCTCCTGTGTTTGGTGAGCATCGTACCCTCTGCAAACCTCAGCTCCCTAGTCACTAATGCAACCTAGATCCTAAACCACCCTCAAACCCAAGGTCCAACTTTCCGCAGATTCCCTGGCCTGTCTCAGTCCATAGACCAAAAGAAGTTTTCGGTTTAGGCTGCAGGGTTTAGGGCTAAAGCTCTCGGTTCGAAAAGGAGTTTGGGAAAATATGAAGCTCATCTATGCAGCTACTACGTAAACGGTATATAAACAGAACCTGCTGAGCCTGAAACTCTACTACTGAACCCTGAATCCTAAACCGACCTCAAAATTGTCCTGAAATCCTCATCACAAGGATCCGCCCTCGAGTTTTGAGATCCCAACTTTAGGGTTTAGGGGTTTAGGGTTTGGGGGCTTAGGGTTTGGGGCCCTAGTGTTCCTAGACCCTAAACCGTCCTTCACAGGGTCGCAAAAGCCGCCAAAGTCCTTGTGGCCCCAGGTCACGACCTTTCCGGAAGCCGACTCTGAGGCTGTTTTTGCACGTTCAGGTTGTTTAGGATTTAGGGGTTTAGGCCACTCCAATATATAGAGGTCTGAATACTTAGCCCCTACAAAACCACAATATGATATACCGCAGCACCACATTCCAATCACCTTCTGGTTTCTCGTAGAACCCGTATGGCAACCCTTCTTGAACCCAATCAACAAACCTAAGTGTAAAACTGTTTGGAGTTTTAAGTCCCTGGACTATGACACGGCACAGCCGACTAACCTGCCTGGCTGACGCGTCTGGGGTCTTTATGGCCTCTACGCCTTTAATGTTTTGGGTCTTGCCTTGTTGCGGGGTCTTCATAAAGTTTTACAAGGTGTTCCTTTTCTTCGTGCGACTCATAGGGTTTATGAGGGTCTTATAGTTCGAGTAAGGCTTTGTGGTTTTAGGCCCATGGCCGGTGCATCAGCACACCACATGTCGCTTCGACACGTACTCGGTAGCTATAGACGTAATGAAGCTTGGACCCGCCCCCTTCGTTACCTCGGTGCTGCAATTGCAAGATGCTTTGATGGATCGGGCGGCACAGGGTAGGTGCTGTGAGGAGGGCATCTTTTTGCGATGTTTTTTGATACTCGGTTCCGAAGTGACCGAGCTGCAGCCCACGGCGGATTGGAGGCAGAAAAATTCTCGGTAGTCCAAGTAAGCCCAAGCTTACATCCCGAAGCGCGTCAAGAAGCTCGAGATAAACCACCCAGCAGAAGCTCCAAGCCCCAAACCCAGATAAAGGGACTGTACCCTGACCCCTAGAGACCGCCAGCAACCCTAACTCTAACCTCTAAAATCCTAAACCCCAAACCTCAAGACCGAAAGACGAGAAAGGTCTCGCCCCAAACTTTACAATCAGTCGTAAAGACCCAAACTCCAAAACCGCGCACCCCTAAACTCCCAAAACACTAGCCCCTAAGCTCAGAAGAACACAGAAGAGCCCCATCTAAAATTTGCAGAAAAACAACCCACAACCTTAAAACGCATCTGAACTTAATCCACCGATCCCTATCATAAACACCCCAAAACAAGAAACACAGGCAAAAGAGCCAATGAAAACCTCACAAAGGATGTCAAATCCAATACAAAGCTATGCAACACGAATTGCTGAAAGTAGCATAGAGCTGTTAAACAGCTAAACCCTAAACTCTAGATAGCACCAAGCCCCTACAAAAAAAACGCAATGCTAAACCCTGGACCCCTAAACTCCTTAAACCCTGCACCCCAAAACACGTAAACCCCAAACCCACATACACTCTAAACCTCTGGAGTCCTTTTTACAACCGTGCTAAAACCCCGAAACAACCCCTGTACCCCTTCTAAACAAAGCCCTACTCCAAGGATGATGCTCCCCTAAACCCTTTAAGCCCTAAACCCTCAACCCTGATCCTATATCCTATACCCCTATAAACCCTAAACCCTCATCCTATCCCAAACCCTATTAGCCCTAAGCCACAGGCCTCCCCATCCCCGCGGAGAGCCGCGAAGGCCAAAGTCGAGGCCACAACTTTTCGCACATCCCAGAGCTCCGACCTCGTACTCCTTAATTCTGGAATATACCTTAAATTAGAGGGGCGGTTCTCTGGGTACCAGTTACCATAAGGCCTCTCTTTAAGGGTTTTTGTTGGTAGAAGGTTCCTTCAACGGATCTAGTACGGTTTCAGGGTTCCCTTAGCAGTTCCTATAATAAAGGCTTCCGGGACAAGCTCGGACCTGGTATATACTGGGTACTACAAGGGCCTCATTTAAAGGATCTACAGGGTTTCTATAGGGGATCTATAAAAGATATTTTAGAAGTACTACAAGGGCTTAGGCTTCAAACAAGGATGTAGTGTTTAGGGTTTAGGCTAGTGTAAGGGTTCCTTTAAGGGATCTACAAGGGCTCCTTTAAAGGTTCTCATTTGTAAAGGCACCTGAAAGGTTTGGAGTTCAAAAATGGAGGGTTTAGGGTTTGGGGTGTGTCCGTGAGAACTAAAGGTTAACCTTGGGGAATATATTAGGAGATCGTGGGAGAGTATAGTACGCCAAAGGCGTTAAAGGTTACCTAGTACTAGGTATAAGAGTATGGGGGTTTGGCCTTCAGGCTTGGCGTGTAGGGTTTAGAGCTTTTGGGGTTTAGGGTTGGGGGTTGAGCGTTATATAAGGGTACCGCCATGTGTTGACGGGTTACGGTTGCGGGTCGAGTTGTGTTTATCCAGGCATTGATCTATTGCGGTGTTTAGGCTCGTGATACTCATATTCTCTGTTTATGGCGCTTTCTGCTTTGTTATTCGGCTGCCTGTAATTATAACTCCGTTTATAACGCTTGAGAGGGCTGCTGTATAGGGTTTTTGTCATGTGTTTGGTGCACTTCATACAAAGTTGTGTAGGCTTTCATCGGGTTTTATAGGAAAAAGTTTAGGCAAGTGAGAACCGACTCGTTTCTTTAGACTTGTCGAGTATGGGGCATTAAGGTTTAAGGATTTAGGGGTTTGAGGGCTTCAAGGTCTGGGGACGACGGGCCTGGGGCTTTAAGGGCCTTGGGCTTCCGATTTGGGGATTGAAGGGTTTGGGATTTTTCAGCGGAGTAGGACTTGCTGTGTCTTCATATGGGTGCAAAGTAGTATGAGCTGTGCGCATCGGAGATTTATCGGTTTTAGTTAGAAGGGTTTCGTATGGACTATGCAAGAATTGCGAAAAGTAGCATGAGAAGCTCTGAGCGGCATTGTCTTTGCCATTATTGACGGCTTCTGTAGGATGTTTAAACGGATCTACCGAGGGTTGTCGACATGTCGTACACTGTTCCATTCTTGACAGGACCCTATGTTGCTTCCGTCCGTTTCGACGACTCTGGGATGTTTCCTGTTCGGACTCTAGGCATTGTTTACTCGTCAGTATTTAGGATCTGTATCAGGGTCCGTGAAGCCCCTCGCGCTTGGGAGGCGGAGCTGTGCTGTAGCATCTTGTGCTTACTTCCTCTTCACTTGCCATAAGGCTTATACAGTTTAGGGCTTATTCATGGGGTCATTAACTGCTACTACAACTGGCACACGCACTGCCAACACGTTCTGGCGCTATGAGCATGACTGCATAACATCGCCTTCGCTTCGGCGTGCGCACTTTGCGCAGTTCACGCTCATTCTGAGAAGCGCTTCTCCACTGCGGAGTCTGCATTCAACCGCGCATGCATAGCAGACTGTCAAGACTCTTGCGATACACAGTGCCATCGTCACGGTCAAGACGAGTCCGGCGTCTCTTCTCGTACTCTCCGTCTCCCACGAAGATCAGGTCATAACCTCCATCGCAAAAACCAAAAATAGAGCCCGTCGCGAAAACTGCTGCATCAAGAGCTGCACCGCCACGCCTCCAGGAAGTCAAGTGGTGAAGCACATACTCCCAACGATCGTAGTTTTTGGAGGTCCAGTGCAATGCGATGATCACATACTCGCCCAAGCGAGCGATGTCCACACGAGGGGCAACCCCGAGGCACTCCATCTGCTTCTTTTGGTCCTTGACAATCGCGTCGATCTTGTCGTCCTCTGTCATTACCAGGGCTTGAAGAACATCTCCATCTTTGATGCTTGCATCAGCAACTGCCTGTCTTTCATCAGCAATGATGTGTGCATTTGCAGTCACTAGATGCTTTATCAGTAAGTTCAGCTTGCACTCGGCCACACACCGCAACTTCATCACAGTGTCCTTTGGGCATATGTTGATGGGGATACTGATTCCAGCCAACGTTGAGACTTCAAGCCGCAGCGCCATGTAGCAACAAGCGGCATGCAGCAAAGCACCTCACTGCTGAACACATACGCTGCAGAACTCGGACGTGAAGCCCGTAACCTGAGTCGCAGCCCCCCGCGGACCCTTGGATCTTAAAACCAGATGCCCTAAACCGGAGCCTCCATATTCTCAGACCCACAACCCCTAAGTTCGAATACCCCGAACCGTAGGTCCGAAACCCACAAGCCATCTTGATTACAACATCTTAAAGGCCTTGACTCCTCAAACCCTAAAACCTTAAAACCCTGAACCCTGATGAACCCCGAAACCCTAAACCCTAACACTCTAAACCCTAAAACCCTAAACCCGTGCCCAAGAAGTCACACAAAACTGCTAATTGCTGAAGCCCTAATGGCCCACTAAGCCTGCACCCAGAATGCTAAAGCCAGGAACATCATAGCCCGAAGCCCTAATGTAGGGGCCTTAATAATTAGAATGTTTTTTTTGGGCTCCTTAAATAGTATAGTTAAAGTTAGCAGGCCTAAGGCCTAATATATGTAATTATTTCGGCTTCTGTCATAACACCCTCAAACCTGCAGGGGCCACTGGGCCAAAGCCTAGTGGACAGATTGGACGGACGAGCCCCTACACGGCGTCGCTTTGCAAGACCCCTTAACGAGCCCTTTTAAGGGGTACCCGTCTTTTGCCCTTAAAGAGCCCTTCTAGACACCGCGCTCTTACAGAAACCCTTACATCAGAACCCTAAACCCTACACCCTAAACCCAAACAAACCCTGAAGAACCTTTCTGAGTTGGCCCTTGGAAGTCTTCGAAAAATGTTCGCAAATGAGATCCTCTCGTATGTGTCCATTCAGGGAAAGTAGAACATGTCCCAAAGGCCTACCTAGCTTTGCAAAAACCCTTACCCTTACCCTCAAAGGACTCATATGTTCAGGCTTTTGGGCCCAAAGACCCGATCACATAAGGCTTTCGGCTATTTGCCTATTTTGATGCACAGGGTTTATTAAACCTTAAACTCTAACCGTAAAACCCTAAACCCTAACCCCAAAGCCCTAAACCCTAAAGACCCGCCATCTCCCCACATGTGAAGGAAGGCACCCCAAGCCTTAAAGCCGAGACCGCCAAGACCTACAACCCTGAACACTAAAACCCTCTAGAACCCTTAAAGAGCCAATAAAGAGCCCCCCTTAAGAAGCCGCAAAGTGAGCTCTAGAAAAAACTGAGCCCTAAACCCCAAACTGCCCCAAACTTCGCTAAACTGAGCCCTATAAACCCTAAACCTTGAACCTTTACCCTTACGCCCCCTGGAAGACCCCTATAGGCCCCTTAAAGAGCTCGAGAAAACCCCGAAAATGCAGAGAAAGGCACTGCACGGCGCTGCTGTCTCCGCCGAAGCGTCCAGGGCCCCAGGTCACAACGGTACCTTCTGTTGAGGTGTTGTTTCCGGGTTTTTTGATAAACCAAACGGTTGCAAACTGATCAGTCAGGGTTTAGAGTTTGGGATTTAGGCGTTTGGGTTTAGAGTTTGGGATTTAGGCTTTTGGGTTTAGAGTTTGGGATTTAGGAATTTCAGGATTTGGGATGTAGGATGTAGGGTTTGTAGGTCTAGCATGTACGGTTTACGTTTTGGTTTGGAGGGTTCAGCGTTCCGCGTGGTTCTCTTAGTTACCTTGTGCTTATTGACGACAGGGACAGGATTTCTGGTGAAATGTAGGGGCCTTAATAATTAGAACAGGGTTTTCGGACCCATCAACTATACTTATAGTAAGGAACCTCCAAAATTATACGTAATTATTTAGGCCCCTATATTAGGGTTTAGTGGTTTGTCTTCTTCTTGTTCTTCTCGTTTGCCGGGTAAGTTTGTTTGCGGGTGCAGGGGTTTAGGGTGTCTCTTGCTAGGACCCCTAAACCCTAAACCCTAAACCCTAAACCCTAAACCCTAAACATGCAGGGTTTTCGGCTTTCTGGCTGCTCACTCTGGGGGAGGCGGTCAGCGGACTGGTGCTGGTGTAGGGATACACAAGTTAGGGGCTTACAGGTCACAAGGGTTTTGGGCCTTTCTCTTGAACGCCGTAGTGAACTCATCATCGACAACTACATCAGCTAGGGATGCTGAAGCAAGGCAGATGCGGAAGTCCGAAGAGTGACGTTCTGGCATTGCTTGCCTGCTTACTCGTTTCATGGACCGACATGATTCCGATCACAGAGCGCTCCCGTTGTCACGATGCGACTAAGGCCACTGGTCTACGCGACGGTCGAAGCAGCTTAGATGAGGTGGACCCGAACACTGACTACAGGAGATCGCCGTAAATGATGCACCGATCGACGACGTAAGTGCTGCCCAAAGCAGGCACAGTGTGGTGAAGGTGGTCGAATCGTGGGTGTGCTGGTTTCGGGTCTGCAGCTTATTGCTCCAATAAACGCGGGAACCATGTATCCTGCTCTGAACCTCAAACGAATACTGCTCCTCTGAACCCAACCGCATGGTGCAAGAAAGCCCGGAAACCTCGATCTCAACAGCAATGTCCTCCAAGTCCGTACCCGAGACTTCCGAAATATGACATAGCATCGTGGCACTAACATAACCATTTATAAAACCCTCATATTACCATACTATTTGTGGTCCCTGTCCCTGCCGTCGCCGCGGATCAGGGCGAAAGCGGCGGCGCGCCGGCTTTGGGTGAGCTGTGCCTGAGCTTGGAGAGGGTTGGGGATTTTGGGGCTTTGGGGTTTTGGTGTTGCTAAGCTCCAAACCCTAAAGCCAGAGTTCAACCCTGAATGGGATCAGGTTCAAATCCAAAGAGACCAAATCTTCGAGTCCACAGAAATAGAAGAGTGACGGCTGTTGGGTAAACTTACTATAGCGCAATGACAGAAGGATTATAACATGAGGGGGATTGCTAATCCCGAAGAGTGCACTTTCTATACTTTGGACCTAAAGTACCTGAAGAATCGGGACTACTTCAGATCCGACATTCAAAGCTTATACTATGTGTACATGCACTCTAAAACCCCAAATTCCTATGGTACCCTTATAGAACCCCTACAGGAACCCTTAAAGGAACATGGACCCTTGGGATCCCTTGGGGAATTGCTGAATGCTTATTTTACTCGGAGGCTCTCTTGCTTTAGTGCGCTTACTCAGCCTCACCGAAACCCTAAACGGTCTCTGCAGACACGAGAATTTCATATCTGAAAGCTCAGGCAGACCCCCAAATCCCAAACGCCTCATGAACGCTGCAAGAAACCTGTCTGACTTCGACGTGTGGTGATTAATTTGGGCGAAATTCGAAAGGTGACTTTTGAAAGCTATCCAGAGGCTCTTAACAACAGCGTTTCTTAACAATCTAAAGGCCTTTTTGACAAAAATACTAGACAAACGATGCACTCACTGCACGTTCTGGCAGGCGCCGCCTGCGTAGTTGGCATTGGCATGGGTGTCTCGCCTCCTCCTGCCGGGAGAAAGCGCCCCTTCGTGTCTCGTCGAAGGCCACCAGGGGCTCCCGGTGCTCTGCGCCCTTACTTGGCGGCCAGGTCCATCGCCGAGGCCAGCTCCCGGATGTCGGCGGCCAGGTCGCCATCCCCCGCTCCGCCACCAAGGCCATCCGCCGCGCTGCCGCCACCAGGACGCTCTCACCGTATCTACAGCTCCGGGACTGTATGCCTAGCTGCAGGCTAAGTACAGCGCAGCATTGTCAAGCAGAAGCATTGTATCATATACATATAAAGGGTTTAGGGTTTGGGGGCTATGAGCCGAGGGCTCAGCTTGAAACCTATGGTCCAGCGACAGTTGAGCCCTTCACCCAGCACTGGCTGACTGTTCAATGTAATTCAGCTCCGAAAACTTCTCTGGGTTTAGGCGGTTTATTACTTGTCGATGTCTTTGAATGAGTCCAGAGCCAGCATACAAGGTTCTGAGCACGAACGCCCTGAAGTTCTAGCATCGCTATCAAGTTTCCCGACTCCAACCGTCGAAACCTCGAAAGGCCCCTCAATCCGACACCCTCAGAGCCCACAGCACAAGGCCGAGCAAACTGAACCCGACAGGTTAAGGGTTATGGGTTCAAAGAGTGGTGGCTGTAGGTATAGGGAGAAGCATAAGAACGCTGGTGAAAAGAAGCAAACAGTAGCTGCCACACAATAGGACATACCACAGCCCAAAGCCCTAATTAAGCCGACCTCACACAGAGCCCCGCCAAATTTCCAAACTGGTGTTTCTTGTTTTTGGCGTTGGTTACATGAATACCGCACAACTATGACCGTGCAACCACTATTGGTACCTCGCCCACTTTGGGCATTATTTCCCCAAGCCCTAAACCCAAACCTAAACCCACAAATTTGAAGACTGGAACCCGAAAAGCCTGAGGGCCTCAACCCTTTGGCCAAATTCGTCTATGTCTTTCTTTTATTCTTTTTTTGGGGGGTACATAGTACATATTATTACTACTATTGTTATTATTGTCATGAGTCATTATTATTATTAGTAGTATTATTATCATAGAATATACCCCAAGGCCCCTGCGTTAAGCCATTTAAGCCCTGCACTACACCCGAAACCCTGAGCCCTAAGCCCGGGTAGTTCAACAGTTCAACCTCCCTCCTGCTATGCAGCTGAGTGGCCTGTCGGACCAGGGCAGTGAGGCTGTCCTTACTTTAGCCGAAAATAGGCTTTGGGGCTTGGGGTTACGGGATATAGGTTTTGACCCACACGTTAAATCCCACAGCTCTAGAAGCCTAAAGCCCAATGTGGGATTTGGGGGTTTACGATTCGTGCTTGTAGGGTTTATCCGAGCCCTTTCAGCAGCGAATTAGCGTTGCTGGCATGCTTTGGGGTTGAGGCGCATTTGGTATGTCGTCGCGTAAGCTTTGGGGTTATGGGCTGAGCTCGGGGATCGGAGGATTGTCGCTCTCGGGGTCCAAAAAGCTGAAAGAGTTGATTACACCATGAAGCCTACAACTCCTACGACCGAAAAACCTTAAAACCCCAACACCCCTAAACGACAAGCGTTAAATCCAAAACCCTAAATAACACTAATACCCCGATTACCTAAGTAGCCTCAAAATCCAAACTCGGGGGCCGGCTTGGCTTATCTTGAAGTGCAACAAATCAAAGCCTTCAACCGGTGTTAAGGTCTGGGGTTCGGGTGTAGGGTTTAGGGCAGGGGATTGTAGTACAGGCACAACCGAAGAAGTATCTTCGCTGAGGCAGAACAGACCCTAAACCAAGTGGCTGAAGACCCTGACGCACACACATTGAACCCTTGGGTGTCTGGCGTTTACACCAAAGGCTAGAGGCTACCTATGCACACAGCTACTCCACAAAGGCCACATTACACATATATACATACATACATACATACATACATACATACATACATACATACATATATAAATATTGCAGTCAAGAGGACGCCGTCTCCAACTTGATCCTGGAGAGAGCATGTTGAGAGCTTAGGGATCGCTGAAGGGGTTGCAGTAGAAAGGGTTACAATAAAAGGGTTACAATAGCAGGACTCACCGTGCATTCTTTTGCTAGGTAGCAATGGAATCGGATGTCGGTTTCGGGTACAGCACCAGCACTGAATAAGAAAACATTGAATAAGAAACCCAGCCCCTGAATTTGCGCGGACCTATAC